CTAAGAATATAGTTTTGAAAAAGTCCCAGAACTTTGATGGACAGTTCGTAGTCGTTGATCGAAAAGGTTTTCGTAGGCACGTCTCCTGGAATGCTGTCAGAAGGAATCTTATCAGGAGAAGAAATTTGGCAGAAGAACTGAACCACATGAAAAAATTCCCTTCAACAGAGGAATTTTACTGTCATGGCAGGGATTTCAAAAAGCTCCAAAGATGGTTTATACGCCAGCTAGCTCCTCGGTTCGTGCTTCTCCGTGACCCCTTCATTAGATTGGAATAACGGTAACTCAGCCGAATTATTATTTCACAAGCAGTCATGATCACTCATTGCTATCGACAGGTTCATGGGAACGAAAACCAACATCATCAGCATTCGTAGTCATCTCTGAAGTATCTGGCAACAATACTAATTCCCTCTTAGCTCTTATCACGTCTCCGCAGACGACATTTCCTTTCAACGGGTAATGATTGCCGAAAAATGTGAAGAAGATTCCTAGATAAAGCAACAACGCGCTCGTTCTGATAACATACCATAGTGTGTAAGCCCGACGCCTGCTGCCATGAACCGTAAGTTTCCTTCATTCCTATTTTCCCTTTAACATTGAAACAATCTGGGAAAAATAAGCTAAATTTGGTACTGTTTTGAAACTTCATAGAACTTTTTCAGACGAATTTCCGTCCGGCCGGAGCAGATTCGGTGACGTTAACGCATTCTACCCTCAAGAAAAGGAAGATTTCAGGGTTGGCTCTTTTACTCATCTCACTTTTTCGTAACTTCGTTTTACTTTAATTTGTCTTCTGACAGAAAGTGACTATTGGAACCTGCAATGTCCAACGTAGAGCGGGGGTTAAAGCGGTCGCAGCAAGTCAGAATTGTAGCCTTCAACCAATCGAATGCCAAGCTTTTCTAGGGTACATTTTAATGGAGTTTTGTCCTACTACCCAGCACTAGTGAAAACGCTAAGAAGGTGTCCAACGCAGTCATTCCAATGAAAAAAAGTTGTTCAGAAAGGGGTCGCTGTTTGGACACCACGGCGTAAGGAAGTAACACTGGGCTGTTTCCAAATTTTTTTTTTCAATATGGTCCAAGATCTTTCCAATGAGTGCCTGCACATTTGAAATCCCATCATGTCCTCACGGATCGAAAACAGCCTAGCCTCCCACCTCCAATGACTAACTTCCTAAGATAGGGACGGAATCATCGCGTAGGGGAAGGGGATGAGCGTGTCAATAAGAAGATTCCCACTTGTCACTGTGGGACTCAGAATTTTCGATTGTAGAGCATCACCTACAACCGTTCCCGCCAAGTTATTATATTTGAATAACTTGGTCCAGTATCGCTCTGATAAGGAGTGAAGATGGATCCTTCTTAGAATGCCTGCATAATTTTCAGAAATCGTAGTAATTTAGAATCATTCTTACAGAATCTGAACTCTCGCCTCGAACAGTACATCAATCTAGTCAAAGGTCTTGAAAGGGACAACCTCCAGCTGGTGAACGAACTTCGTCATCTTCATGAGTCATGGGGTCAGCAGAACACCGAGTACAAGGTGAGAATTCACATTCTGTACATTGTGCTTTCTGTGGTATTGAAGAAATCGAAGAAAAGATGTTATCGAAGCTGCCTTAGTACTGCTCCCGAATGATCCTGATTGTGGAACACTGAACACGAGTATCAGGCAACGACTCTGATCACTGGGCGCAATCCACTGCTAGGAATGATTACTTTCCTTAATGTTAATGATTCACCACCCACTGTAGTTTCTGTTTGCAGTACGTTGATTACGTGCTTGTAACCCATAGGTAGTGTGATACTTTGAGCCTATAAATAAGCGCATTTTTCCACAAAACTCGAGGGGCACGGAAGAAATAATGTTTTTTTGAATGTCTCTGACACATGCTACTGTTCTGAGTTGCATTCAGAATAGCACCTTTGCATGAACCCGTTCTCGACAGAAGATAGGTGTTGGAGATGATCTGGGTGAAGAAATTGATCCTGAATAGGTGAAGGCCTGCAATGAACTACTGTAAGTAAGAATGTTACCATAGCTCCACAATTAACTTTCAAATCCCCTGGAAAAGAAATGAACACACTGTTCATAAGACATACCAATGTTTGCACCAGTGAAAGTTCAATGCGAAGAAAGTAGTCGTGCCCTCACCCAGTCAGAAATCAGAGCAGACCGACCAAATCCCGAGTCAAGTTACATCTAACACGCCATATTACCAAATTCACGAATCTCCACTGTGAATTTGCCAATTCTTTGGAAAATTTCGTAAACTTCTTTCAGCCGCAATGCAATGACCAGTTGTGTCGTACAGCACAAGATTTTGGACCAAATATTGCTCATCAAGGTCTTTCTTTGAATCCCAATCACAACCAGCCCAGAACATCTTTGCCCGCTAGTCACCTCACCTTTGCTGACAGCATGTTCTCCATACCTAAAATTAATATGACAGCATAGTCTGTAGCATAGTCGTCTGTAGCAATATGACAGCATAGTCGCTACAAATCTAGGGCAGTATCATAATGACGTTAGCAATTTCCACAACATCTAGGGGTTCATGGATTCGGAGGTAAACAGTTACTCCGTCTGCGCTCGCAACTGGCAAAGATATGTCGTTTTGTTGAAGCTCTTATTAAGTATTCTCGGTTTCTCATATAGTGTGTAGCTTTTTATGCGGATACACGTCGTATACCGGACCGATAGTGAGCATTTACGGCTTTCTGGGCAGTCGTTGGCGTGTCTTATCAGCTTGAGGTAGGGTGTGGAGACTTGCGAAAAGCTGACCGTTACGGTTCTCCGCAAATCTTCTTCATTCACTTCATTAACCAATCAAAATTGAGACAACGAGAAGTGTCTCTCACTGGAAATATCGGCGGAAAGGGGCATACGACATGTATTACAGAAAATAATGCTCTTTAGAAGGGGACAACTGGTAATTTGTTCAGGCTATGTCGCCAGTAAGCGCCAATTTACGTTAGAATACAGTCGGAAATTCTTATAATACAAGAAAATGCGAGGAGCGATTGGCTTGATGTGCATCTCGCTCTGCATTGCAAAACTCTCACTCTGTACGGCGCTCTACCGGAAACCTCGATGTGTTCGTCAAGAAGTGCGGCTGAAGTCATCAGAACCTATTTGATGAGTCATAATGAGTAATCGTGTGGCGTGATAGGGAAAACGGAAATGAGCTGTTCGAAGAATGGCTCAAAAGGAAGGAGACTCATCCATCTTTTTGCTAGCTTCAGGATGTGTACGTTAGCAGCAAGGCGCTTTCACTTCAGTAGGTGGTGGCCCGTCGGAGAATTAATCTGAATGAAAAATATGAATGGAAACAAGCTTTTTTTTGTGTTCGAGGTTGTGTAACTTCAGCACCGCTAACTGTATAATTTGATGCCTCTGAGCAGTTTTTACCTTTCAACAGAAATTCCAACAGAACTGTGATAGTGGTATCCCTCCACATCAGCTGGCCTTGAGTTTGATATTGTATGTTGTTTTCTTCACTATGTAACCATCTTTTCTAGGCTGAGAAGAGCTACGATCTTTATCGAATGTGATATCCTCACGTTCTCAATTATCCCTTACATTGGTGCTGACTGAACCCCTTGAGATTGAAGCCTCAGCGAGGGTCAACCTCTTCAGCAGGCGGATGCCATGGTAGTCAACCCTTTGACGACCATGGCACCCGCCTGTGGAAGACACTATGTTTTTCCTTTCAATTTTCATATTTATTAACAAACTCCATGGTAGTTATACTCAACATGATCGACGTGAATGTTTTATAGGAGCTTATTTATTACAAACATATATAGTCACATCTCTTCACCCTCAAGTTCCTTGGATGTTATACGGATTCCTACTGCTTACACTATCACCAAAATTCTGACCTACATTGCCTCCAAACCCGAACTGCAATTCTAAGCCTGACTTTTATAGGAGATAAAATAAGATGTGATGCTCCTGTTATGCGGAAATATTGCTAAGTTCATTAGGCCAGAGAAAGAAATTCCTTTTGGGACCATGGCATCCACCGGTGGGTGCCAGTTGCGCACGAAAGGAACGGAGCGTGCTTGGGCGCGTCACGTCTAAATCGGCATTGTCGTCAAAGGGTTACTCATTCTCACATCAGTTAGCGATGAAAGATATTCAGCTTTTTGTGAATGTTGGCAATCACAACTGCTGACTGCTTTCTTTCAGGCCTCCATCTCCAAGTCTTTATTGGTAAATAGAGATGAGTCGATAGCAGCCATAAAGGGTTCTGCAAAGCAGGCTATCGCGGCAAAACGAATCAATGAGAGAATCGATCTGTTCCAAAAAAGGTAAGCCTAGACTCCTGCTCGTAACTACTCTTTAGGCCCGCAGAACATCGCAAGGTAGAACCGAACAAGGAAAATTTCCTAACTGGCCTAGAGGCAAGACTTTGCAAGCAGCTCAACCAAAACCGTAATTTCAGGATAGACTTCATTCGGCTGGCTGAGCAGGGAGATCGTGCAAGATGTGCCGAGTTGCGTTCACAAATAACAAAGGCCGAGGCCGATCTGGAACTTCAGTTGAGAGAGTGAGTGATCATTTTTGTAGCCACACATCTTTTTTCTTTGAAATGGCATCTGCGCCTTAGTAATTAGCTATGCCACGTTGAGGCTCCGTCGGGGACTAACTTGATAACCCGAGCGGCGCTGCACAGAAGACGTTGATCAACCATCAAAACACCAATTCCTATCAAGCATTCGAGATTTTCTTGTTGTAAAATTCCTCAGCAGATGGAACACAAAGCACAAAAACCCACCTATAGAAGGAGGAAAGCCTGAAGATTTCAGGAACGGTCGCTTAGCTGATGAACGTGCTCAGCTATCAGCACAGAACGCCGCTCTCTATCATGAGTACGAGAGAATCTGGGAGGTTAGATTATGCGAGGAACTTGGCTTTCGAACTTCAAATAATGTAGGAGCATAAGAGTTCATTTGCCTTTTCAGGAAATCGATCGAGTGAGACTCGAACTGGCTGAGTACCAAGCAAGAGAGGAGCGTTTGAATGCCGAGAAGGAATTCCTTATGAAGTGAGGCTACACCTTCATGCCCCTCTTTCTTCCCCTCACGGATCAAACTTCGATTTAAGGGTTCAAGAACGAGAGGTCCATGAGATCAACAACCTCCTTGCTGAATCTTCATTCGATGCAAAAACTTTCTTCGAAACCGACATTGCAAATGCGATCAGGTAGTAATCGTTTTTCCGCGATGAACACGCTTCATTTTCCTTCATACTCAGAGGCTTTACTTATTCAGAGACATCAAACTAGAATACGAGGCTTCCCATAAACTCATTCGTAACAGAGTTACAACCTATTATCACCAGAAGGTACTATTAGCATCATTTCTGAGACATCGATGAGCACGCACCTCCGATTTCAGGCTGATGAGATGAGAAGAATTGCTGAGGCAAGAGGTGCTGACGAACTCAAGCATCGATTGGCCCAGATTGCAAAGATGGAAGGCACGATCGGGGATTTGAGAAGCAAGTTCCGCCCACTGGAGGACCGAAACCATCTGTTGGAGAAGGAATACAACCAATTGCAAAATTCGGTAAGAGGCATGAGCTAGAACGTTCATATTAAAAAGCTTCTAAGGCATGTTTGTCATCTGCTATGTGCGTAAGTGATAAGTGAACATGAATCATTGCCTCGCCATTGCCCGAGGTTTTTGTGGTTCTACGGAAGCTTTGCTTTCAATGGACCGCTCACGGTTGTAAAGATGCGATGGGAGTCTACGCTCATTTTCGCCGTCTAGGGCAGTGCGACCTGAGCTTCGTCTGCCTTTCTTAAACCAGTCCTGAACGAGTACATCACTTGAGAAGTGATTTGTAATTTGTTTTACATGTCTGAAGAGCATTTGTATTCCGATTTGTCGGGCAAGCATAACGTATAGCAACTCTGGTAGGGAATTGGTCACTCAAGACTTCAAAAATGAATGGCAGAGCTTATGATGATAGTGGGGGTTTTTAGTGGGTTAATCCCGTTTTGTGATGCTCCGCTACATTCAGCATCCACTGAGGATCGCAGTACTGCTTGAGATCGTACTTGTCTATACCGCTAATGTAGGCATGCCAGCTGCTGCCTTTATTCCCTAAAAGTGACTGATTCCAATTTACTGCCTCGGGAGGAAAGCTGGAAAGCGTGAGCGGCCAAGACAGATAGCAGTACGAATTTGATTCCTGACTAGATTTATGGTGACGCATCGCATGCCAGTACCCCATCTTCACTCAGAGATAGCTTAATTAACAAAATGCCGAGCGCTGCAAGTTCAGTCTGATCGCCAAGTCTTGTCGTTGTTAGAACTGATGTCGTGCAACCCCTAGTCAGTATTAATGCTAATCGATTAGGAGGCCTGAAGGAGACGGTATAGGGTTTTTGACTGATTCCATTATAAAGGAGGCGGTATGAATGTAGCAAAATCGGATTTGAATGTTGTCAAACACATCGAGCCAAACTGTTCCTCAGACATGACAGCATGGGGTAGAATTGCATCACTCTGGCAAGCAAAGTGTGTAGCATCCTCCCAAAGTTGACCAGTTGTGGGCAAAACTAGTTGAAGTTGAATTCATCTAAGGAGTTCTGTTCCCAACTCGCCGAAGTTGTAAGACTTTCAGATCACGTACTGCGGTGAAATTACAATAGTTAACAAAACATTAACTAAGTTGTAGCGTCTTTTTTAGAACATGAAATCGCTTCTGCTCAAACTGCTAGAATATGTTTCCTAGTAAGAGGAGCCTACACTTCAACGCTTTGATGCTGATATCGGTCATCGGCTCACCGCTGTGAAAGTTAGAGTAGTGATAAGCTTTTGCATAAAAGTCATTGACAAGGCGGGGGCAAGTGGGGTCCGGTAGTGTAAGGGATCAAGAGCAGGGTGCTCAGATAGCACATGTACATTTTCGAGTCCGGTACGAGACAAAATTTTCCTGATAACTCGCCAACCTTGTAAGATGTCCCTTGATAATCCGATTTTCATTTGACTAAATAGCATGTGAAAGTGATGGTGGCGATACGTCAAAAAAGCGGAGAAGTTTGAATAGACCCACTGCTGTCTACCTGGCTTCAGACATATTCTAAATCAGGCTCGTTTCTAGATAAGGAACGACGAGGAACGCTATGAACGGGAGAAACGACGCCGTGATGAGGAATACAGAAACGCGCTTGCTATGTACCAACGTCTGGTGGGTTTACTGTCATTACCCAGAAAACTTATTCCAACAGCTAATGAGGAAATTTTCGAATAATCTGCTAATGGTGGGTTGTGAGCGAAGAACTCTCTCAAAGGCGATGAAAATGATTACTGAGATTCCCCTGTTGTATGAATTCGAGGCTTCCCTTATTTCATATCTGTCGTTATATGGTCGAAAAACGTCCTGGATGGGGTGCAATAAGTAGCCGGACATTGTATCGTGTGAATGCCACGCCCGTCGTGGACGAATTCCTACAGCTTTGTAGAGGCTGCACTATCTCGAGGGACTTACAAGTAGAAAGTTTAAACAACTTGTTTCGTCCCATAGCGGCAGTGGAAGGGTTTCGGACAAGTCAAGCTGTATTCAGGTTGATTAAAGTTTTCAGACTGCTCAAAATCAAAATTTGAAAAAATTAATCAATCAAACCTTCAACAATCTTTATGTACCGACCCTTTACCTCTAGACTTGCACGAATCTTTTGAATCAGAAAAAAACTTAGATGGCTATCTCCAGTAGGAGTTGTCCTTCGATTACAAAATGAAAACTTTCAGCTCGTTGAACAGGGCTCAATGTCCGAGGTGATGCTGTTGGAGTTGGAGATCTACAGAAAGATGATCGAATGCGAAGAGAAGAGGTTNTAAACAACTTGTTTCGTCCCATAGCGGCAGTGGAAGGGTTTCGGACAAGTCAAGCTGTATTCAGGTTGATTAAAATTTTCAGACTGCTCAGAATCAAAATTTGGTAAAATCAATCAATAAACCTCCAACAATCCTTGTGTACCAACCCTTAACCTTCAGAATTGCACGAATCTTTTGAATCAGAAAAAACTTAGATGGCTATCTCCAGTAGGAGTTGTCCTTCGATTACAAAATGAAAACTTTCAGCTCGTTGAACAAGGCTCAATGTCTGAAGTGATGCTGTTGGAGTTGGAGATCTACAGAAAGATGATCGAATGCGAAGAGAAGAGGTTAGGTTGTTTTTGTATGAGTTCGTACTCGTGGGGCGGTTTTTAGACTGACATCAACAAACAGAAGAACCACTGATAGCGATCGTGCAAATTTGCAGAGTTGATCCTTCCTAGAATTCCCCACTTTCGAAGACAACTACTCATACGGTTACCGCTTTGCCATTTTGGCTATTAGGTAATCATAGGTGAGCATATGTATGTTACCTGCTTGAAGCTTATTTTGCAGGCTCTTCGAAAGAAAATTTCTTTGGTCATGCGAAAATGGTTTTATGCTTGAAAATTATTTTGGCATAACGTATAACGAATGTGTAGATAGTGTAGATAACGGACCAACGCTGATTTACACAAACTCGCCTATCATGGAAAATAACTTCAACCGACTATGTTTAATTTAGATGGGGACATCGCGAAGTTACCAAGCTCTACGAGTCTTTTGCTCAAATCACAAAGCACCGAACTTATGAGGTATCCGTCTACTGTTCTCATTTCAAATGTAACGATCTCGGAATAAAGAAGGGAATAAAACAAAATTCAGGGTGACATTCGTATCAAAGATTGTGATGAACACGGTATGCAGGTCGTCATTGAAAACGCTGGATCGATCGAGGTGAATTTTGGTTTTGATCTGAAGCTCGGTATATCCAAGCTGTTCAAAAACAAAAAAATAATTGTAGAGATACTATCTTCAACAGCTCGATTAAGTACGAGCAAAAGGGCAGTATAGTATTATATGTAGGCTTGATCTTCGCACACTTTCCCCGTAATTCCCGGTCTCATCATCAAGAAAGTCATAACATTCTGCCTTCTTTTTTGAATTTCCTCCACTACTTTTCAGCATCGCTTGAGCGGTTATCGCCTAAGTCGAACGGTCGATGGTATTGAGAGATCATTCACGTTCCCACACCTCTTCGTTCTATATCCTGGACAAACGGCACAGGTACGACATTCGGGAGCTATTTTTCTGCTTTTATAATAAGCTGTTCCAATAACGATAGATGGGTTCAATAAGAGAATTGCTCAAAGACAAAAAATGTACTAGCCAGGAAGTTAGGAGCATTGGCGGTCCCCCACGCTATTAGCCGTGGCGATCTTTCTTAGCACTTGCCTATGGAGCTCCCGCTTTGCAAGCCTCCTACTGAGAAAGGAGCATGGGACCACTTCTTTGAACTGAGAAACAAGGTTGGACTAGGTCAGGGTAGTGGTGGGATGGGCCCCACGTCTTGCGTCTAATTCTTCCCCCCGTTCACCTCTTCGGCAGATGATTTCAGGCAGATTTTATGCTATGATGAGATTTCGTCTACCCACCAATCCGGAACCCCACTCTACCCCTAATATTCTGACTAATTACAGGTTTCTGCGCATGTCCAAACACAAAAGAAGAACGACCACCATCACCACTTCTACCTTGAACGTCATTCAAGTTGGGGCGTTGGTCCCCATGTTATAACTTATCTGTATAACGCTCAAGGAAAGGAAGTAGCCAGCTTTGAGGTGAAAACCGTCTAGGTAGAATGAGATCATTCGTTGTGTGTAGTGAATGAATCTCAATCGTTGTATCGAAGTTTTTTCTCTTACACCACTTATTCGAGTTCTGTTCATAAGAGTTCTGCCATTAATTACATCTATTCGACATTTGGTAAGGGTGATACCGATATATGAGCCAGTCACTGCCCTGCCTAACCATTGCCATTTTTCTCTTAGATGCTCCTTTTTCTTGAAAAGAGATATTGTTCTAGAATAAATGTGTTTGAATACTTCCGTAAACACACTTTGGAGTGGGTGTGTTCCGATTACGGACACGTAAATATCGTTATGTTTCAGTAGGCAGCATCCCAGAACTGATAATCGAGAATAATGGCATTGATAAAGAATACAGCTTCGCGTTCCTCTACAATGCCTACACGCTCAAATAACACTTTGATTATCGATTGATTGGCATCATGAAACAACAGCAACATAAACATTCCAACAAGGCCTCAGAACGTTTCAACGGATATTCCTCCCCCCAAATTATTTTTCTAAGTCTGAATGGCAAAGTGATCGTAGTCATTACGGAACGGTACCGCCTGCCAGAGTGATCGATGGAGCGTAGAGTGGTGAACGTCTTCAAAAAACAAGTTCTCCAAAAAAAGAGAGGTAAGAACTATCATATTGCTCCGGAGGTCGAAGTAGACCCCTACTTATTCCACCCATGAACCATCCTTGGGTGATATCATACTCACTGTTACACCAGCCAATTTTGTCCGTTCAAGTCGAACAACATACAAATACAGGACTTATGAATTGGACAGTACATTACTACAACGTCGCATATTTTCAAAATTCTTCCTCAAAGCTCTTTACGGGACCGCTTGGGAAGTATGAGCAAAGGTGTCATGGGCTGCTACTCGCCAATAGCTTATGGTGAATTCGCTGACCCAATTCCATTTTCCGTCTCCTGGAAAAATGTCCCAACTTTTGCGGTATCGTATCGCGACACAATAAAATTTGGGTCGTTTCTCGCTGAATCCACTAATCCTTTTTGACTTGTCGCCAGCCTTTTTAATTTCTCGTAGATGCTGTGGCCTTGACGCTTGCCTCTCTTGCGTACCTGTTATTTCAGAACGAGTTGATGTAGTGGCAAGTGACGCACTATCACATATACAATGTCCACGGTTCGGATACAGGTTTGATATTGGCCTTGGCCGAACGAGCTTTCCATCACTCCGTCATTTAATTGGTATCAGATTCATCTGGAAGGATAAAAGTAGTGGCTTATTCATCAGCTAGTCACCAAAAATCACTGTGTAGGCCACACCAACATTCAAACCACAATTACGATTCTCATTGGAAGTTGAATGCTGGGGTAAATACAGCTTCGCATTCCTCTACAATGCCTGCAATTCTTTCCCTGAAAATGGAATCATTAACACCAAAGACATCTCCATCAGCTTTATATCTATTATTTAAGCAGAGCGGCCAGACAAGTTGCCTTATTTTAGATATCGGGTTTGCTCTTCACGGCGAATCTCTAGAAGTTAGTGCTCATATCAACGGAACCCAAGCTGGTCTATTATCATGAGTAAAAAGCCTTCAGAGGTTTCATCACAGGAACTCGGAGTTAGACTGCGCTGACCTCCTGATGAGGGAAGCCCTGTTTCGATGCCTTCCTAAGCTGCATGAAGCAATCGCCGTTTTCTCGCATCGGGATCGCATGAATTAGGACACGCCTGGAACAAAGCATTGATTAATGGGAAAAAACAACACTTATAAAAATTACAAGTCTAAATTTCAATATCTACCGGAGAGAAAGCCACCTACAAATATCATAATGTTGCTCCCAGATCTTCAATACGCATATCCCACAAATCGAAATAAAGAATTCTTGGCAAAAGGTCATTCCCGCCTTCTAGTACGAATCATTTGGAAAAGTTTAGCTCTTTCGCTTCTCTGAACCAACTTCAAATTGCTGGAAAGATTACGTTATCTCCAGAATGCATGCATGGTGTATTTAGCGGCATTTATTACGTACGATAAGGAAGGAGCAGCTCGCACGCACACCTTTGGAATGAAGCGAGAGCGGCCTACTCACCGCAAACCCTTTGAAAAAGCTCTCAATGCAACATTGAATAACATGAGTTTTTTCGCATCTCAGATATAAGGCGGAGCTGGTGTAGTGACAAGTGACGCACTATCTCACACTCACGGTCACAGGTTCGAATCCCGGATTGTTATCCACCTAGCCCAACCAAGTCCTCGATTCCTCTGGGGTCGGTTATTGGTACCAGACTCGTCTGGGAGGATAAAAGCACTGACTTGTACGTCGACTGGCTACCGCAAGTCACTGTATAGGCCACATACGCATTCGATACGCTACCAAGACTCTGAATGGGAGTCGAAGGCTTCGAAACGTTATCGGCGGTGGTCACTGTTTTCAAATAGCCACTCAGTCACTGTTACGCCGTAGCAAGAAGCACAACTGATAAAGGAAACCATCCGTACTCCTATGCACTTCTTCTTTTTCAAGCTTTCTCCAGTTGTATTTATCGTTTTGCCTTCTGCTTCTGTGCTGCTTAAGATGGAGCTCAGAGTGGTAGTAGGGGATAAGACAAAGATTAAGTAATGCGAGCCAATGGGGATCTAGAAAACTGTGAAAAAAGAGTCAATACTATTAGAGCAGGAAGTCTCTGCTTGAGCCATCAATCACATGCACGAAGTTGAATCGCCCGGGTGATATACCGAGTGTGCAACAAATGCAATAGATTTTATTACCGCTTTCTTTCAGACGGATGTAACTTTGC